TTTACTGCAGGATACAATACTTAAAGATGTAGTGCTCTTAGTAACTAAATTAATAATTAAAAACGTAGATCAATGCTAAATGTAGTACTAAATGTAGATTAATAAAACTAATTCTGTAAATTATATATATATATATATATATATAATGTCCTGATTATGAAATATACGTATGTTTAATATGAATAATATTTCAATTGAAAGAAATTACAGTGCTACAAATTTACGAGATTGAAAAACATTAATTTGTTCAATAGCATTAAATTACATACTAAATTTTACAAAGATAAATAATATATTTTATTACTTTTAAAGAATCTAACGAGACTATCATTAAAATAATATCGTTTAATAAATTAATTTAATAATAAACTTGATTAATAATAAGCTTAATTTACTTTATAAATCAATATATTTTATTTTTATCTTATTAATAATTCAAGTCATTTTAATAAATCTCAAGTTGTAAAAATGAATTTTTAACTTTTATAAATTGAAAAATTTTCAAATGATTTTATTTGCAGGTGCACACAAATATTTACTTTATTAGCAAACTAACATAAATAATTGTAATTTGTAAATATATGAAATATAAATTACTTTTTAGAGATAGACCATTACTAACATAGTGCTGGTTAACACGTTACTTTTTTATATATAGTTGAATTAATTTTCATCTGTGTATGAGTAATTTATATCAAATTTATCTCATTATTATAGTTGCATTGATATGAGATTGATACCAACTACAGATGAATTAATGTAGTCATTTGCATAAAAACTACTCGAGTAATTTAGTTTAAAAATAAAGTAAATTAATTTTTCTTAACCATTATGGATGACAGATATGTAATAGAAGCAAAAATTAATATTTTAAGTAATATTTACTTCATTTTTCATATCTATCCTGAAAAATATATTATAAAATATATTTTGATTTAAATAAGCAGAACTAAATAATATAAATAAATATAAAGTTTATAAAAAATATAAATTAAAGAAGATAATTTAATTCTTCAAATTTATTTTCAATATAATTTAAAATGCATACCTTAGTGTATAGTTAAAGATATAGATATCTATTGCAAAAATTAAGAAAATTAAGAGAAAAAAAAGAACGATTTGTTTTGTATAAAATTTCTTCACTATTTTAATCAAATTGCTCTACACGATAGTCATTAAATTGACTGACTGAAGCTTACTAATTATTTCAGGTATTATTAAATATATACGCAGCATATTTCTTAGTTGTGTAGATTAATATGACTAAAACTACTAATATTTACTTTTAGTTCTGTTTCAGTCTGAATGTGTCGTTAATACAACGTGTAATTCCATGCACTCAAAACCGATCTTAGATGATGACAAGAATTTTAGCTAGTCAGTTGTATATTATAGATTTGACTCATTATTTCATTAATTTTTTAGCTCATCTTGAATAATACATTTTTTACATTTATATTCTAACATTTTTGTACAAACAACCACATGCATTATTTTAAATTATATTATTCAACATATGTAATAATTTATATATATATATACAATAATAACGTATATAATAATATAAGATTATCTTCTTGATGGTATTAATTATTAATTTTACTTATTATTACAATCATATGAAGTTTGTTATTTAAAATTATATGTGTTCATGAAAATTTTCATGCAATTTATTAATTTTTCTTATTATTAAAGTAGTTTATGCTTTTATTTATACTATATAGTAAAATTTAATTTTAAATGATTATTAAATAATTAGAGGAAGTAAATATTTACTTACATTATAGGTACACGTAAACGCAGTTCCGATAATTCATATATTCAATAAATATTAATACGTTAAAAGATACATGTGAAAGATAAAAAAAATATAGTTTGAAATATTTGTGTAATAACAAAATTTTTATAATTAAATAATATCACATTAATAAATTATATTGGTTTTTTCACATATACGTGTTCGTTTCTTTTTTTATATATATAAATGAAGAATTAATAAATATATAAAACCTTAAAAAAATCATTGTATATTGTGTCATAGTTAATATTAAATAATATATTGTTATGAAGTTGTTACCTTAATGCCAAGATATTAAGATTGATTCATAAATATTCGAAGTACTTTATTAATGCGAAAAAAATTTAATTTGTCTATAATATCAAAATTTAATTTAAATTTAATTTTATTAAATAATTAATGACTTTATTCATTTAATATAAAGTATAATATAATATTATCATTTTAATCAAATTACGCATGACACTTGTTATAATATTTTTATATATTGATTTAATAATTTTTGCTTTAAAAAAAAATTTGTATTTAACTACTTTACACGAATTCTATATCTCTATAGTTCTTTTTTAGTTTTAATATCGTTCAAAATTATAATGCTATTTATTAAAGAAAATACAGATAAATATATATTTTTATAATACGCATTCCGAAAGTTTATTATTTTTTAAATACGAATGAATTAAATATTAAATTGTTGTAATATATAAGGTTAATGATATAATGATGCACATATTTAACTGAACTTGTGTATCGTATTTATCAGTGTATTTTATTTAAAATGTTATACATATATATTTCTAAAAAAAATTAAGTTTAATTAAGGTATTATAATTTAATGATAATTCATACAAATGAGAAGGTTCAACTTCGGAGTTCAAATTTTATTTTAGATATTATTAATTTTTTATATTGATTGTTAATAATTATTCAATAAGAAATAATATTTTCTACATTTTTTTTCAGTCATCAAATTAAAAAATTAACACATAAAATTTTCTCTGTATACTTCTTCATCGGTGTCTATGTGCATTGCAAAACTTTTTATTTCTATTTTAAACTAAAAACATAATAAATATAATAAATTCTTGTGCACTCATTGATTATTACTTAAAATGTTCAATCTCTGCTCATGAAATATAGTAAATTACATATATTGATGAAAATATTTATAAATATTTTTGGTTACATTGTTAGATTTTTTGTGTTCATTAATGTAGTTAATGTGTGTGTATGTGTGTGAGTGTGTGAATGTTTAATTTCTATCTTATAATAAAATACATACATTTTTTAGGTGAATCAAACTCTGTCTTTAGAAATAGATGATATCATATATTTGTTGTCTTAAAAGGATTATAACAATGTTGAAATATAACAAATCTGAAAGTATATGGATGTAGATCTTAATATATCTATTTTTTGTATACTTTCTAAAATAATTTATATGTCAACATTAATAGATATCTTTTTATAGGAGTAATTTTGGGGTATAAATAATGTTTACTTTCATAATGCCTTTTAGACACGGCTGTTAAAATTTTACTATTAAATATCAATATATAAATTTGTTGTGAAAATTAACTGACTTAACTTGTAGTCACTTTAATAATATACTCTTCAAAAATAAAGAATTACGATTTATGTGGATAATAGAATACGAATGAAAGTTTTAATTTGTATTTAAAATAAAGATATTCATTTGAAAAATGAAAAGATGCTAGTTTTTCAATTATAAATACTGTAAATTGTATCAGTTTACTTTAATTATTAAAAAATAAATTATCAATAATTCTATAATAAATTATTATCTTTGATTAATAAAAGTTATAAAATTTTTTAAGTACATTCACAGCGATTTAAATGGTTATATACAAGAAGATATTTAAGACCAATACAAAACCTAAGTTCTTCAATAAGAAGAGAAAACTTGTAAATGTGAAAATAGAAAAAATTGAAAAAAGAAATTTTGTATGGCAAAGTAGCTGTTTGCTCAATCAACAAAATATGACAAGTCTCTTTTATAACGCGTTTAATTAAATGTATTGAAAGTGAATATTCATACATCTTTAGGATTACTCCATAATATTGCAATATTTACTACTTCTTTCGTAATTCCACTCTTTATTTTATTGAATAAAAAATAATCTTTTACCGGATAGTACCAAGTGTCAAAAATGAAATTAAATATATGCATTGACAGTTACAAATACACCATATAAAAAGTATGTATAAGGTGTTTATTTCATCTGAAGCGATTCTGGAGTCTTGTGAATTGTTTATTTTGACGACCTTCCCCATTTTTGTACATTCTTTTTTTCATCTGTTTATTCCTTTGCATGTAACGGAACATGAAAATTAATGCGGGTTTATTGTATATAATTATTTAGCATTTAGCTAGACAATAATCTATAGACATTATATTAATATTTATAAAATAATTGATATATTGTTAAAAATTTATAAAAAAATTTCAGATATTCGTCATGCACAAATTCTCTATTTTGGACAGTAAAATATTTTAATATTATTGATTATAATAAAATTACATTTTAAATATATTGCAATTTTTTATTGAACATAACTATCAATTTTTTCTAAATAAAAATTGTACATGCATAATAAAAATAATAATAGGGCATTTATTGTTTTTATTATCGATTAAGTATTTAACAGAAATTATAAATAGCATGATTATGCTGTTTGATATAGTTTACAAGGAAAAATATTAATTTTCTGTATTATTGGTTAAATACAACGATTTAATTTATGAAAATATAGTTTTTATAATTATGTATTTTTTAATTACAGGAATTTAAAATTATAAAAAATTGAATAATAAATTGAGAAACAAGTTACTAACAACGTTGCATTAAGATAAATACTAATAGAATATTAATAATAATAGAACCAATTACAATATATTCGAAACAAAAATATTGTCTTTTACACTGTGTGACAGTGGAAGAGTTTATTTTACAAAAGAATTATATTTTGTAATTATTATTTCATTTAAAGCAGTGGTACTTTATTCGTTATAATTTTTAATTAGTTAAGAGTTATTTTTAATAAAGAAATAAAATTATGGCCGTCATTTTTGTATTTTTAAGTACCTTTAAAATTTTTATTTTAGTCGATATTTGTATGTTCAACAATAAAGAGACAATTGCAAATATAAAAACACTCTCGAAAAATCATTGATACTCACTCGGTTTTTGAAAGGCACCGCAGCGGTCACATGTTTTGTGTCGTCAGTCCGCAGTCGTTTTTCACCTCTAACTCTAGTTTTGGTATTTATGAATCATTCCGATGTCCAATTTATTGTGATTTTTTCTATTACGGCTTTAGCGCTCTCTCAATTGAGCTTCATTTGATGAAATTCGCACTCGGAATGAAGAAGAATATTTGACAAGCAATGAGTAGAAACACGACAAAACTTTACGACTGTGCAAATCGGCTGCAAGTGGCGGACTGGCGCGCCGCGACTACTAGACGTCAGTCCTTGGCGGCCGGCCGCGATCCGTGACGCCGTCAGTGACTGCGGTGGCCCTCTGCGACCCACACACTGGCGAGTGCGACGGCCCCGTGATACCACTTTGGATCCTTCATTGGGATGTCTGTACTTCCTAGGCTATAGATCTCTAAGTCTTCTTTAGAGGCATTAACTAGTAGTTTCGTAACTACAATGTTACGGCCGTTCAATTGTACTGTTCTAGTCTTCCTGATTTTGAATAAAATTTTACAGATGTATACTTGTAATATGATTTTGCTTATTGCTTCTATTGTATTTTATAAAACCCACTACGTGTACATTAAATATTTTTCTATTATTATTTAATTATTAAATAACATAATTACAGACTTTACATTGTTTGTTTTTTAAACAAAATAGTATTATATTTATTCTTATAATTATTTCTAAATTATTATTTCTATATAGTTGATATCATATTTATTTTGCATAATATTAAATATTTGATAAAATACACGCGATTAAAATGTAAATAATATACTTTGTATAATTGAAGAATTCCTAAATATTTGGGTTGTAATAGTTAAATATTATTTCTTAATATGTTTCTAAGTATTTTTATTATAAAAAAATAACTAAAATATTAAAAAGCAATATGATCTGTGTTTTGTAACTTAAATTTTTTTTAATTTAATTGTTTTTTATTTCAAATTCAAATTAATGTTTCTACAATCTGCCCCTCTATAGAATTTTAACCTAATGAATATATAAATTTTAAATTGAAATAAAATATATATAATTTGTAGTTGTTATGAATTGTTACAATTTTTATAGAATTTTCTATCTTACAATTATACATAAATATTAGTTTAAGTCTTTTGAATTGTGAATTTTGATGAACCAGTTTTTATTGAATGTTTTCTTTAAATGTAGTACTAATTGCAATTTGTGTTATTTTACACAAAAGCAAACACGCGCGCGCGGACACACACGCACATGCACACGCGCACGCATGAATCACGCACACAGAATAGCTATATAGATGTGTATATAGTATGTTATTATTTACCGAATTAATTATTGCATGGATGATTTTTTTTATATGATTATTAAAAAGCTTATTAATTAAATTTACTATTTAAAAGTTCCTAATTATGTATTTATTTGAATAAATGTTGAAAAGATTAATAGTTTGTAATAATTATTTTCATACTATTATAAAATTGAAAAATAATATAATTTGTAAACAATACTAAATCATACTATAAAATAATAGATTAAAAATAAAAATGTTTACAAAAAAGGAAGAAAATTAATTATATAAAATCATATTATAAATTCGCTATCTCGGATAAGGTTGTAGAAAATAAAGAAGTTAAAATATTATCTTCCATTACTTATATATATATTTTTGTACAAATAGTTTTTAAGAACTAGTAAAAATTTAGATTATACAACATTAATTTATTGTAAAATTACAATATTCAATTTATCTTACCTTATCCATAAAATAAGGTCTCTATATTTTTGATAACTGAACGACTATTTTATTTATACAACTACTGGATTAGATAAATAATTTTTAATTATAACATAGAATGGTTTAGAGTAAATTTGTTAACATTTATTTCATTTTGTCGTTATCATATTATTACTAAATATATCAAATACAATTTTTTTCAATTTGAAGTAATTATAAAAGTACATAATTGTTATTATTCAATGTATAGTTTTCATGCATACCAATAACAAGTGGGAAGAATTAAGTTTAAAGTAGTGACGTGTCAGAACATATAATGGCTTGTGGAGGGGGGGGGCATCCTATGTGAGTAATCAGTACAGGCAGGATGTAGATTAAAACGCGGATGTAATATACTAACATAATCATGTACGTATATGTATGAATATCGGTACATATTGAATATCTTACTTTGATGTCATAGGCTAATGGCACTTCAGAATAAAGTGTAATATTCCGTTTTGAGCAAAAACATAAGAAATTTTATTCATTATGAAATATTTTTTAGTAAATATTTAAAACCTTTCTTTATTTTATATCTGCGCTGTAATAAAATAAAATATGTTTTATTTAAATGAAGCCATTTATTATATAATATTTATAGATATATGTAGGAAAAAAATTAATAAATTGAAAATATTTTAATATTACATATTTTTTGTGCATAAAATGGTTACTGATAATATAAGAAAGTAAACTCATAAGATCAATTCAAATAAAAGTCACCCATTCAAGAAATAAATATAATATATTTATACTATAGTAAATGATAGTACAAATTAAAATAATTCTTAAACAAAAATTTTAAGAATAGAATATTATTTAGTGCATTATTCATAGTTTTATTTAATATTTAAAGTTATTACTTTTAGAATAAGGAATATTCTGTACCTTAAAAATCTGTAAATAACAATATTTTGAAACATAGTATACTTATTTAGTAAAATAATTCAACGAGTGAGAAAGCATGGGAGCAAAAATAGATTAATAAAATTGATTTAAAAATATATTAAAGATTTTTATTTTAAAGATATAACTAATGCTAAAATATAATGAGGAGTTCTAATTCAAAATTTTTTATTTTTTTTTCATAACTATCTTCGGATTATTAATATTCAGTAAACTATCTGTTTACATTTTTGAAAACAGACCATTTTTTAATAGTTACTCTATTTTTATTTATTTTCTTTTCTTTCGAGTCAACTGTCATATTATATATCACAATCATTGCTTTTTAATTCAGATATGAGATTTGAATTGAAGCAAACTGCTTATTTTTTATAATACCTGTGATAACACATTTTATATACAGCTTAGTCTTAACTTGAAGAAACGAATAGTAGAAGCTCATTAATGTGGTTTATAGACAGAAAAGGGCATTAAAGAAGAGTGCGAAATCTTATTTCTATTGAGTTTTTATAAAATTAAGCAACATAACACTCTCAATAGATGAAATACTTTTCTTTAATCATTTAATTATTTTTGGTACTTTTCGTTTTCATATAGAAAAGTTTATTTATAGTCCTTTGATAAATATCAATTGTTCTTATGATAATTTTCAACTTATGATTTTATATTTAGAAATATGCTAAAATAAATATTTTTCTGTTTATTGACTGAAAGATCTTTCTATATAGTCAAAAGCTTAGAGATAAAATCAAGCTAAACATTCATTTTTTACTCAAAACTAAAAAATTTTTATTAAAACGTAATTGAATCATAATACTCTTCAATTCATTTAATAGGACCTGAAGGAAACTGTAATGTTAGTGGTAATCTTATCGTCTTAGCTTTTCTTTGAGATTTACATTTTGAATAGTGTAACTACATTTATCAACTATAATTTTCTATGCTTAAATAAACAGATTTTTTTTTAATAATTAATTAATGTACTGATAATTAACTAATGCTACTATCTTATTATAAGTAATTGTAACAATTTTATCTATGTTGATTAATACTATTAAATTTGACTTTCTACACATTAAATTAAATAAATTAAACTATTTGAAAAAGTCTTGCGTAGAGATATCATAGAGATTCTTGGGATTTAAAAATCTAAATATTTCATGTAATATTTTTATATGTCATAGGCTGAATATTCTAAAGAAGGTAATTACTGCATCTTCAAATCCAGTTTTTAGAAAATAAAATAAAACTCGTATAAAATTGTTTCATTTTAATAAAGTAAATGATTTTATATTCAATTTATTATAATATAAACTAAAACATTTATTACTCGTATATTTATCATTATTATTAATAATAAATAAGAGTTACATTATATAAGAAGAGGATATAGGATCTTAATGGTTTGCTCTTTTGAATCCTGGAACTTTATGCTTCTCTTTGCCTCTTTGGTTTCTATTACTTAATATTTCTGACTTTACTTTCTTATATTCTAATGTATAATTAATAAATTAAATTGGCACTATTTTTATTAATTTAAAGATAATAAATATAAATATAATATATTTAATTTTCAATTTAATGTCTGTAGAGTATAAATACTGTAATATAAATTATACCAATATAAATACTATAAATTATTTACTTAAATTTGTATAATATACAATTTTTTAAATAGTTCATAATTTATTTGAATAATGAGTAATTTTTTATTTATATTTATTTCATAAATTTCTTTTATTTCATGGTTTGTACTTACAAAAATTCATGTGTATTTTGGTAATGTTCGGAATTTCAGGTACCCGGAGGTTGAGAGACCAAGATGATTGGATTGGACCAGACTCATCATTTTACTGGTGGCAAAGTATGAATAAGTGAGAGATTAATATTTGAATTTAGTAATCAATACAATTGGTTTTCCTAATAAAACACATAAATATGATTCTACGTTGGCAGTGAGAATCGTTGACACCGTACCGCTCCTTGTTGGTAATTTGCGTAGAATTAGCGTGCACTGCCAGTCGATGTTGGAGGTCTCTTGTTATAGTGTGCTTGGTGGAATTGCTACACTGAGAAGCACAAGGGCGTAAACCTTGACACTCCTTGTGTAGAACCATGTATGGTGCTTTAGGTACGAGTCTCCTCTTGATGATAATATATTGAATTAATACCTCGGCTGGCCCCTTGCAGGAGACACTTGCAGAAGGTTCTTGCAGGATTCACAGAAATTCTTCGTCTGACCTAATTCTGTGATGAGTGCGTTGGTGGTGTGCTTCTTATGTAATATTCACTGTTGTGATGCAATCAGTACTCTTGACTGCTTGAGTCATGGCGCGCTTAAATAGTTGTTAAACGTATTGGCTTACTACCTTATTGTTGCAGAGTCTGCCTGAATTATGTGCGTATATTTAATAAAACAGAATAACTGGTATAAGGCGGAGTTTAGTTGCTATGTAGAGTAATGACTGATAACTGATTGATTTAGAAATTTACAGTAAGCCTAGAAGCCTGTTGAATATGGGCACGAAACTGAAGGCTTAGCCGGTCCATGGTGGCTCTGTTGAGCTATATCGACTATTTCATGACGGT